ATCGTGCAAGTTTGTGATTTTCCCGTTCGAACGAAAAATGCTTTTAGGTGGAATCCATGGCGTTGCACATCTTAAGCATTTTTAAAGCTCTTCTTCGAAAAATAAACCGTCGTTCACGCAAATACACCCTGGTTTTATCGAGAACTCATCTGGAGCCATACACTTGTCCTGTTAACAGGTACAAAACCTTGACGAAGAACTAGGCTCCAGTTTTACCCTAATTAGAGCACATCAGTCGTGTATATCCGTTCAGTCTTTGAAACCAGTATGGAGAAGGCGGATGTGTTACAACTTTTTCAACAACCTGGGAGCGAATGGCCATTTCACGTTTGTTCAGGTGTCGTCTTCAGTGATAGTGAATCAGTTTATTTTGGACAAACAGCAGCGAAGGAGAACGAATGGGACTCAGACATAAAAACTTTCACAAGTGACCGGATGAACTGAGGATTGCGTGATGTGGAAGTTGGGGGATGGACAGTCCAAATCAGTTATTCCATAGAAATACGTACGAGTAAATAGTAAATGCGTACTATACAAACAAGGCCATAACCGATTTCAGCTTTGCGATTTAACGGGATCAAACTAATTTGGAAAACTTTGTCTCCCATGAACGTCTTGCAACCTAGTGTCATGTATGGATTCGACTGTTGGTCACGTAGCTCAGGAGTACGGTCTTCGATAGCTGACCCGAAGGTTCGCAGGGAAACAACGAACAAAACGGCAGCCGAGTGCCCTTTGTCGGTCATCACAAGGATTTATTCAAAATATCAACTAATTTCAAATATTCCATTTCAGCTCACATTTGTTTATGAGCAGTACTGTGTACGCGAGTTAAAATCCGTCTCCGTTTGGTTATTATAACACTTCCGAACTCCGCTATATATCGACGCGATCTGATTGGAATAGTTTGACCTGAATTTCGTTTCACTCTACTAACTCGAATCACAGTAGTTTGGAGAGGTTGGCCTGTTAGGTTGCGCGAAACACGCCTAGTATCTTATAGAACGGAAACTAGTGTTCCTGTTTATACATCTGTACGATCATAGATTCCACGGTCAACCCAGGGGTAACCAAAAGATCAGCTTATTATTACTTCTGTTGGCAAAACCTATTTGCTAACACATATACATCACATGGCGCATCGTTTTTCCACACATTATGAACCTCATTCAGTTGGAATACAATAATAAAAAGTTTCTAAGGTCGCGTGATGCCAGTGATGAGAGTAGATTGGAATGGTCTGGGCAATAAAACTGCTCATCACCCACGCAAAACAGGTACCACTAATTTATATGCTTCATCCTTTGTCCATTGGTCACTCCGCAAGATCGTAACCGGTTGATCGATGACGTGAGTCAGTCGACAGAGATGTAAAATATATGCCTTGCTCGAACGTAGACCATTCGGGGAAGAATTGAGCAAATGTTTGAACTGTGAGATGAATGAAATTGTCTGATTTTATCCTAAAACTAATAAGATACAATTTGACCAATGAAGTGAAACTGTATAAGAAAGTAAAACTGTAGCCAGATACGGGATAATCTGAAACAACATGATTATCACTGTTTGACTCCGGATAGCGTTGGCCTGAATGGTCCGGGTGGCATCATAATGGAGGTCGGAATCAACATGAATCGTAGTCAGACGGGACCATTCTAAGTTAATCAGTGATAAGTGACTAACAACAGAAACCACACGAGAAAAAAGTGCAAGGAACCTCAAGGGGACAACAGACATCAACATTTTCAATGTACTACGAAAAGAACACACAGGTTGCCCCCGAAAGTTAGACGGAAAAATACAAGCAAGTACAAAGCAGGATTCAGCTTTCTCAGGTCGACTGAAGATTCGTTTTTTCAAACATTACTTGGTAAACAGAACAGTTATCCAAGGCTCATCTGCAATCGCAGAACAGGACACATCTGATCAAGAAGAGCACAATCCGTGGGAACAATGATAATGACACCAGGGTTTGCTTTGCTTAGGTGATTCATGTTTTCTTTCATTGTGACCTGCATCTCTTGTGTCTCATTTGCAACCTGTCATCATTTAAAAAATTCAGTCTTTATGTGCTCAGGTTTTGGCTACTGTCTTTTGGTGACCTTGCAGGCCCAACAATGGATTAAAAAGTATGCCTGTTACAAGGACGATAAATGAATGAAATGAAGAAGGTGAAAGACGTATAGAACCACATTGAATAATATGCCATTAAGCGAAACTACGAGGTACAAGTTTGGATTAAAGACACCTGTGCTAGATTTTCCGAATCCAACATTCAGTGGTCACCATCAGACACGGCTTTTAATGGGCAAGGAAAAACACTAATTCCATTTTACATAAGCACAAGCAAATGGTGAAATCCATAGCGCAAAAAATAAGGAATTACTTGATATCAGGCACTATGTCCAGTGAGTTTTGCAATCATTATCTGGAACCGAGATACAATGAAGCGAACCGCGATGGTCAACACACTATCGAACTGGACGCACACACACCAAAACAAGCGCTCTGACATAAGAGAAGAAATGCCTCGAACACAACCGTTATTGGCCCGCTTTTTGGCTTCGTCAGTGTATCCAACCGATCAGATATAGGTGTTTTCTGATCCAATGTCTAGTCTCTACATGCAGTTCCTTCTAAATAGCCTCAGTATGAATATTCCTACCCTTACAGCAACAACTCTAAACAAAGCGGGGTGCGCTAGACGACGCTTATGCATGCGCAATCCATATCCCGTACAACAAAGACCTCTAACCAAAATCCGTTATGATACGAAATTCGTCGCGAAGACACTTTAAAATAAACGACGCTAAATCAGCTCACTCCAACGGAGCTCAGCCAAACTCCGTCAACATCGAAAATTCTCTTCCACGCGCAAAAGCGATCCCGTAACTTTCGAGCAGAACAGATTGCGGAGTACGCGCCACATAAAACTTCAATGGAGCGTAACTGTGACGCCGGTGTTGCAAACCCGTGTGCGATATTCGAGTCAACCCCTTCACTGTGTAATTATCGAAATTCGTCACAGAACTTCTTAGGCAGAACATTGACTCCATTATGAACAGTTCCTGGTCATCAAGCTTCAATACAGGGGTGCGTAGTGGACACTAAATTGCGGAATCTGAGCAGCTTGAAGCGGACATCTCAAGGTGAACCGAAATTTGCCAGTCTGACAAATATGCTTTGAGCATATTCGATCAGATGGATTATGTCATCAGATGCCATGATTTCTCCCCAATCACCCACTCAATACTTACATTTTGAAAATCTTATCTAACAGTCTCGGTTTATACAGGGATGGCTGGTGCACTTTTGGCTTCCCGATTAGAATAGAGAAAAAGCAAGTAGAAGGGTGGGAACAGTAGTAATGTGAAAACACGGAACTCATATTGGATGAGGTTTCAAAGGATATTGAGTAGATGCACGAGCACCACTATTTACGAAATTCAGTGTCACTAAACTCCGATTGCACTACTCTCGAGGTCCCCATCCAGGAAGTCTAACGCGACCTATATGGCCGAGTTCCCACTCTTGACCTTTTTACACACACAAACTGTCTAGCAAGCCTAAAAGTCAATGATGCCTATTAAGTGACATGCGTGGAACATGCCCCAAGCAGACTATTTTACGGGGGGTTTAGTTGGGTATAACAAAGTTTAACTGAAATGGCAGACTAGAGCATCGTTGTCGAAACTGCACATGGCTGCAACCTTTTTATTGAATCTTGTCCCACAATACGTTTTCATTCAAGACTATTGCAGTGTGCGTTTAGTGGAAACACGAAAAAAGTGCGTCGACTGATAGAGGCCCGTGCTACATTTTTAGGGTTGCGCATATCCTAGATTTTTCCAGAATGGAAAATACGAAAGCACAATTGGGGCGAATGAACGAATCAAATTGCAGCACTCTTACCGTTACCCTGGTTTAGAACAATCTAGTTACATCGAAAAAAACAAGCGATTTCCCACGGTGGTGATCAGTACAAATCCCTTTCCCGTTGATCATTTGAATACTCAAGTGATAAATCGGTTTCGTCCAACAGGCGCCGAGCGAGCTACTGAGTTTACCGCAGACTCTTACCCACCAGCACAGTGACCTCCATGGGGTGATATACTTCTAGGGTATTCCTTTGTAAAACAGAGAACCTAAAGGAGCACCATGATCAAATGAGTCAAACGCTCCTTCAAAGTCAAGGAACATTGCAATCATTGGTTAATTGTATAAGAACCTCTTTCGGTTGGGCGGTGATAATCCATTGGTTGAGGTCAGCAAAATAGTGACCCGGAAGTCCCGGGTTCGAACCGCTCCACAGCCGTCCATTTCTGTATTTTCCCTTGCAGCTTCTGTATGGAAAATGCATCCTTCCTTAAAGTTGAATCTACATTTGTATATTCAATAAATAAAAAAGTAAGTAGAAAGACGTATTAAAAGTTTGCTATGCTTCCCCCGGAGAGGATTCGGTGATCTACTTATTACTCTAATATCTGGATATGTCAGGTAGCTTTTTTATAATAACTACTGTCCAGTGAGTAGTAGCCAGATAAAGAAGACCCGAGTTGACGGATATTGTATCTACAATGGGTCGCAAACTCCAAATTACCAAAATACACCAGGAAGAATCGAAGGGAGATTAATGAAATCGGTGCCGGTAGGACAACAGAATAAGTTGCACTGAGAAACAAACAAGCATAGGTAATACAACAGAGGAAGGGTGATAACCACAGCCAACGGGAATCGTCACATGGGAAACAGAGGGAGAGGAGTGTGAGACAAACTGGGGAAACCAGTTTAAAGAGCAAAACTGTACAACTTGATTTTTGTAACAAAAAAACAGAATAGTCACCAATCCACAGAAACGTGTGTGTGTATTTGAACAGAGCTCGTAACAAAGCGCGTCATCCTGAGGATAAGAAGAACAAACTGTTACAAAGTCCGACCGAAGTAACATCTTTGTTCGCTGGGTTAGGAATGAAGGGATAAATATATAAGTTAGCATGTAATCAACTATTATTGGGATTTTTGTTTGACAATTGTACAGCTATGGGTAATTCACAACCGGCTCGAGCAACAATCTCTAATCTTTCGCGAGCCGCCTTACCATCTTTCTTACGTGGTCGGATTTTTTTAGCTTGATTCGGACGCCGCCGAGGTTGTTTGGCGGTGAATTCCTCATTTTTTGGAGTCAGCGAATTGTCAGGTGTCGGCTGTTTAGTATTTATGCTCTGTATTGGAGGCACGTCTGTATTAGTGTTCACGGTTGGTTCCGATACACATTCATTCAACGGAATGTTCACTGTGCTTGATGGGGAGGAGTTGGCTGTGGTAGTGGCAGGAACAACTAGGCCCCGTTTCCAGGGTTTGGACACCTGAATCAGAGCATATATGAGGGTGGGGTGAGAAAGAGAGACGCAGAACAATAGATCAAAATTGCATGGATTTAAAACAGCACTATAGGTAGACGCTGCTACTGTCGTGTACCCATAAAGTAGCTGAGGGAAATGAAAAGAAGTGATCAGCGAATTGGGAGTTTTGTGCACTCTACTCTCGCTTCCTGTTTGTGAGGTCCTGGGTTTGCGCACGCCTGATGGAACTGAATCAGGTCGGAACAGGTCCACAGGGCTTCTGATCTTTCCAGTTCACGTTTCCTTGTACAACAACTGAATTCGAACTGAATGTTTCACTACTCCCCTATAAATGCCAGATGCACTGACTATGCACGCTGTCTAAGATTTCCGAATTTTTATAAGACGAACTTCACGAACACTTTTAGTTAAGCGTGACACTCGAACGACGAGGGCGACCGGATCACGGCAGAAGTTAAAATATTTTTCTGTTTTTTAGATAAGTCGCTGGCGTTTATCGATTCTTCGTTGCGGAAAGTTGTACACACATAGTCCGAATTTCTCTGAAATTCATCAGACAGTCCGCTTCCGAATAACTGATACATCTTTCATCCAGAACTGAGGGGTGGTGTGAACACCTGGATTTCGATGGCACTTTCCGTTATCTAATCTTTCTCCGAAAAAGCTAGCAAATGAGTAGCAGATCCTTTGCAGACCATCCATTTACGCGGATTAAAAAATTAAGTGCTTCGGTAGCTCGCAATCATCGTCACGCCGAACCGATAATCCATCAGATGGGGTATGAAGATCACAGGTGCATTGAGAAGCAGGCAACGTTTGGCACAGTGTTAGGCTATCTGGTAACAAAAAAGCGATCCGCGCCCAGAGTGAACTGGAATGCAGCACCTTCGGTGAGTGGGCACAATCGGGTTGAACTTCCGAATTCGTTTCATGGGTTTTCGGAGTTGACCGGAACCTATGTGGCTAACGCATCTAAGAATGGAACACCAATGTGAACCCGAAAGGTCGGATAATTTTATTCAGTGAACAGACGAAAGCTGTCAGTACGGGACGCTCAATGAGCAAAAGGTTACCTGTTCTGCTTCAACTAAGTCATAATAGTTTTCTGGATTTCTTCCAATGGACGATATGGCTGAGTGCCGTAAACAGTAGCGCTCGCGCCTCTCAACTTCTTTGGAAACTTAGTTTTAGTAAATTCGCTTTTGTCGATCTCAAACTGATTTGAACATTCCAATCTTCCCTTTACTCTTTCATTCAAACGGGCACTCAGAAGTCAGCAACCAAAACCGGCACACGAAAATGCATAATTGATGGCTGTAAAAATCACCCTTGTACTCTTTATGATGCATATGAGTAACACCGTATAGATTTCGCTGATAAAAGGTCACTGCTATCTCAATGAGTTTACAACCGTCATAAATATGGTGTAAATAACAAGGTGCACAAATATAATCTTTTTTGCTTTGTTGTTGTTAGATGGACAATGGATATGTGGGAAAGGACAAGTTAGCGTTCCAGGCTACTCGTGCGCTGTTTCACTGGGTGAATCACAGTGTTCAATAGATGCGTGTAACTTTGTGTACAAGGTGTTGTGCCAATGGTTATGCTTCATTCGTGAATCGAAATTATATAAAATATTATTCGGAATTATTGCTCATATTTGTGTAATAGCCGTTATTAAGGTCTACTGGGCTACGAGACGTCGGGAATTGAGGCAAACGCTACGTGGGTTAACTGACAATTGTTTCCGTTTTCATGAAAATAGATTTTATGCTCGTAAAGAAAAAGTGAAGGAATATTCACTCCAGATTAATCGTGCAAATGTTTATGACTGTCAAATATAACATGAAAAACTTTCAACATATTTCGTTCGAAGCAATGGAGCAGTGATTCGGAGAAGCGTGTTACAACTGTGAATCTCTTTCATGCATTGAATTTGGTATCTTAAAAACGCATCCGTGGGAGCATTCGAAATTGCTTTATAAGCTATGTGGTCTAGCTGGCACGCAAACACTTAATCATTCCATACATGCACTTTTCTTCCGTTCTAGATTCGAGCTCAGAAAGCCATCCGGCTCTAGTGATTGTGCTGTATATAATCACGCACGTCTCACGAAATGGTTTCAGCGAACCAAACATTAGGAGAAAAGCAATTAATCCCAGTGCGGCAAGATGCAGTGAGGCGAACTTCATACATACATACATATATATATCCCTGCATATATAAATATCCCTGCAGGCACACGACCGGTTTCGCAGTTATTGTCTCTCATCGGGTATTTTTTTTATTACACACACAGACGGAACCTCATAGCCGCTAAAACCTGCAGTTCATTGATGGAAACTGGTTACCGAAACCCAGGGACATCGAGCGGTGAGCCACATAAGGTACCGCTAAGTAAGGCGTGGTATTGAACCGAACAGCGGCAAAGCTACCTACCACCAAAACGCATGCGTATGCGGTGATTTTTTGTCACTTCATTAGTATTTATACTTGTACCCAATAAGTGTATTTTCTCCACAAGTTGATCACGGTAGATTGACGCGTAATACCTACCAGACCAAAATTCTGATATCACACGGGAATATCAGGGTACGGTGCTGAAACACAAATTCAGAGATAAACCAAACACAAACCTATATACCCGGTGTTGTAAGTGAGATATTTGTGTGGAAAATATATGTCCCGGGTACAAGTATGTGAATGAGCTGACAAAGGACATATGCACGTTCATTGTTAGGCCTATACTCTCATAAGTGGTAGTGTGCGATGCCACATGTGACCTCAGTCAGACTAGACTGGCCATATGCACTAAATAAATTTATACGGTCATTCATCAAGCGCTTCATGCACTTCTGTTCGATTTCGACAGATGCATCATGGTGAGTCAACATTAGCTTTGTGTCAACAGAAAAGCTTACAATGAGTAAGGTCAAACTGAGACTAGGACCAGAGGTGAGCCGCAGCCCGCATGCAGATGGTCGGACAATAGGGACGACATACACTCACATTCCCCCCTAACGTTTTTCGGGAAAAAGGACGGAAGAACAGGTGATTTGTTCAAGGCTTTGGAAACCACCTGAATAACCGATCCCTTCATTCCTGTCCCAACGGGAACTACAGTAAGGATGGAACTCATGGATGAAATCCCTCAAAAGCGCGCAAACACAATCAGCCAGTTAAGGTGTGCCTAGATAGTGGTTTTGTGATTATTGTTTGCTCAACTGTTCATCCCCTGTTGACACACAAACATATATTTTGAACAAGGCCTTTATTCTGAGGGACACTACAAACTGGTTGTCCTTCAAACCAACCCATATCGGTCAACTAAAACAGACAACAAAGACCATACAAGAAAGATTCCTATCATAAGTGCATGACCAAAGGTTTCAGCGGAGAGTAAAACGTGCCCGGAGGTGTGAGACCAAATCGTCCTAAAAGGCCGGTGCGGTTATCTGATGATCATAAGAACGCTCAATGCAAAAAAAGATCACATCAATCGTCATCGGTTGAACACCACTTTCACATTTCGACAAACCGTGTTCTGGGTTAAACTGAAACGATTCACACGGTAACGAGGGTGGATAGGTGTTTAAACGGGTTACTTTATAGACAGTTTGTGTTCAAAAACTTTACGTCGCATTCAGAACTGTCCTCAATATAGGTAGGAAAAGAACATGTAATGAATTTGAGAAACTTCGCCTAGTTCCATTATGCAAGATCATTGTGGAATGAACTCAGAAAAATAACACGAAAACATAATTCATCGAAGTTGGTATTCGCTTAAACTTCATAATAGACCATTTCGCATGTGATCGTCCACCTGCTTAACTCGATGTCACGGGCGTAATTGGGACCAAGAGGTATGACGTTCGAACACTGTTTGATGCCGCGACAAGAGTTCTGCACTTCCACATCACTGGGTCGGATTATACTTCACCATTAGCTGTAAATTGCAAGCAACGCATAACCTTCATGTTTCGTAGGAAGCACTTGGAAGTGCGACTTCGCAGATTGTTCTCGAGGTTCAGTAGGATAAGGTGTCACGCAGAGCGATGTGACTGCGAAACAGTTTCACATCGATGTTGTGTTCCCTTGCTCAACTACTACGAATCTTGAGTGCCGGTGTACGCTAGAAACGGTGAATTCAAAACGCAATTCTATACTGAGACAAAAGGTTAGACGAATTACAAAAGATAAACCAAAAAGAAACACGTTCAATTCGCCTTCGCTATTGTCAAGTATTGCGCATGCCCAGTTCCGTATTATCTATTTAATTCGTATCACCTGCAATCGAAATTTTTAGACAAATTTTCATCGAGTTTAAAGATTTCAAAGATATGGCCGAAGGAAAATGTTCAACAAACAATTGGAAACAACAAAATATTCAGCGTATAAGTGAGAGATGTAAAAGGAATTGCACGTAGATCATACTTGAATGACTTGGGCGAAGGTGGCGATAAACAACAGCAACAACAACAATCGAGTAAATTCAAAGGAATGCCAAAAGTAGATGCAGTGTTCTTTCCTATGCAGAACTCATAAAGAGACTGATAAATCAGCTTTGCGCGTCTAGACTTACGTCGGCTCGCCGCACTGAATAGGGTGAGTACAGCTGCAAACTGTACGGAACTGATTTCACACTGCCATCCATCACGGAACTGATCAGTCCATTCATTTTCGAGATTTGGACAGAAGACACAGTCGGTGCAACGGTGCGCCACCAATCGCTCACCACCACTACGTGAGCGTCACCAGGACGGGTGAGGGCACAGGAATCCGCGACCAAGCGAAGGGGAGAAGAAATGAGATTGAAATAGAGCATGTACCTAACAAACTCTGGTCAATAACTGATGGATGAACAAGATCAATGATAAAGAATACGTAGAACATTTTTCGTACGATTACATACACTGCATTGTGTATTTCCACACATTTTCTGGTCGGGCGTAATCATTATAATAGATAAGATAACTCTGCATCTATAAAATAATGTTCCAGCTGACAACAATGAGTTACAGGAGACAGATCTCAGTCTAACCCAGGAATCAGTACTAACTGAGACAGTATCTGTTCATAAAACAATAAGCTTCAGAATTCGATGTCCGGTAGGGACGCTAGACGCCGAAACAATGAAGACCGAGTAGTACCGTCAGGATAATGGGGGAATGTTTGCCCCAGGATTCTCAACAATAAACGACATTAACTGCTACGTTCACCTAGAATCTATTTATCACATGCTAGTAATGTAAAACTATACTCCAGCTCAAACAATCAAAACTTGTACAAACGCGTCAATTTTACGGGCAAACCATTATGGTCGAAACCTGCTGAAGAAGCGAATCAAAAAGTATACAGCTGAGAAAAGTATGAACCACCAACACTATCATCATCATCGGCGGCAGCACCACCACCGCCAATACTGTTAACGATTATTGCTTATATGACTGGGACAAACAAATCATGGTGAAAACATCAATTCACGAGCGATTTTACCAGGTGCCCCGAAATAAACCAAGAGAATGATTTTTCTGATTACCAAAAGTGAGAACTCTTTTCTAGTCAAAGAATGACTGGTCAGGATGTCATACCTGCAATTTATCGAGGGTCGGGCCGCAGTAAGAAAGGCTTTAAGTATTTGAAATGCATGTTACGTATCTAGGGTGCCCAGTACGCCTGAACAATCCATCCGGTAACCACCGCAATCTGGAGCCTGTTCATACATCTCATATTGACATGCTTCAAACAAGACTTCCAGACGCCCTTAGACGAGCCAAATGTTTTTGGCTTATCAACTCAATTATAGCTATAAATACTAGCTCATCGAGCCCAGCTTTTGTTGGACGCTCTGCTCAAAGAACAGTAATGAAGAGTAGGAAAGAAAATACTTAAAGGCACACATTCCGAGAGAGCCATTTCCGTGTGCGAGAGCGAGGTGTTGTACACACAGGTGGAAATGGGACTTTTCGCGTTAGCGAGCATTGAATTACAAACTGAAATGAAATTTTGGCCCACTGACGTTTACAAAGTCCCCCCAAATGGATGCATTGAAAATGTCACTTAGGCTATTATTGAAGCGTTTGTTACTCAGCTCCCAAACTGCCCAAATAAAGGGAGACTAAACCACACGACGGCTCGGTAACAAAGGCAGCAAAGAACATCGTTGTTCACAAGAATGATGGTGTTCCGGTATCCATGCGATTTCGCTCGTTCCTTTTAGACGATGCTAACAGCAAAGAACAGTGGTTCACGGTGGCCGTTGACTGGGTTTGCTAAAGGACGGAAACCGAAATCCATGACAGCTGTAAGTATGGCTAGTGGTAACATACAATAAACTGATCATGTTTGAAAAAGGGCCGAAAATATTTAGTTATCTACCAAAGTTCATGAAGAACACCCGAGTCCTATCATTTCTACCAGGCTTTTTCGTGTTGTCAGGAGTTATTGCTATACTCAGACTGGGGGTTCGATGCAGACATTTAACATCAGTGGTTCCGTGAGACGAAGTCTATAACAGTTCACGCTCAATGTGACAGAATACCGATCGGAAGTGGCAGACAAACAACAATTCACGGACCGTACGCGTGCTATCTTTGCACGCAGTGAATAGGACCAAAGTGTGACACAACGATGGCAGTGAATACATCACTACGGAGATATGGTTGAGGCTTCAAGACAGTGTACGGAATGAGAGCAAAACGAGATCATTCAGAACAAAATAATAGATGGAAATAGAATACAGATTAGGTGACAGGAGCGAGCGGCGTGCATGTTCATTGATTTTACTCCAATCCGACTCGGATAATTAGTGTGTGGTATGCGTTAGCCTGAACGCAGTACAGTGCAGTGCAAAAAGACTGTTTAGATGGACTGAACCAGGAACATCAATGCATATCCAATGATTATGCTATGATTAATTAATTGCACTACATAATCATGATCATACTGTGTAATACAGCAAAGTGACCTTCACTGATCACAGTCAAACCCATAAAGCATACGAGGTCAGGGAGAATGTGTAAGGAGGATAGGGATTGGGCCTGCATTTTAGGGACAGGAAAAGAAACCGAAACGCTATGGTCAACACACAGAGTACACACCACTTCAAGCATTTTGGTCAGATAAGAAGTGACAGCAATATAGTCAAAGCTGTCGGTGTCTATAAATATACAGTTACGGAATCTTTTGTACCCCAACCCGGAAGACCAGACACCTACTCCACCTAATAGCTCTGTGCAATTCTTCATGTCTCGTCTCCACGCTATCTGGTGACCTACAAGTGGCTTCATCGAGTCTGCAGCGGCCACTACAAATAAGACGCGATGCGGTAGGCAACCGTCGGACATACACAGAAAGTGTCCGAACCAACGGAGCCTGTTGAGCTGAATTCGAGGAGCTGGCGAGTTCCGCAGCTACAAGTAGGGGAGCGCTCACCTGCTTCCGTATCTTNATCCGTTTAGAACGGGGCGGATGTGGCGGGAGGAACTCGGTCAGGCCGCTAAATCCAGTCAGATGCAGACGACACAGATTGTAAAGCAGCGGGACTAATGCGGGAAAACGCGAAGTCCAGTAGGCGGCCATACCTTCTTGAGTGCCACCGAGCAACACGCGAACATGCTCCGGCAAGTGCCAAATGTGGTTGTGTTTGTTGCGGATCGCACGGAGCAGATCCATCAGGGAAGTATCCTTGAAGGGCAAACAAAAAAAGAAATCGGAAGAAAACAAATAAGGTTTATATAAACGATGACTGAACCGATGAACGAGTTTCAGGCAGGGGTAACTGAAATGAGGAAATTAAACGTGCCTTGCGATTAGGTGAAGTCGGATATAAATGAGCACTCTATAAAGCACCTGTTGAAAGAATCAGGGGTCAAAAAGTATGACCAGTTTTTTCGTGTGTACTCTTCGTTGCCATGATATACTCAGTATCAAACTGAGCTGCTGTTGTCAACTTGGTTGGACAAGGAAATCACACAACATAAAGCCAAAGTGACAGAAACTCGAGAGGAAACCATTCGCTTCTGAATAAAGTAAAAAGAACGGTTTAGCTTAGAGCTTTCGAGGTGATTCACTGGTACATGACCCACGATGGCATGACACGATCGGAATCTTTCAGTTTGTAATAATTCAAAAAGACAAAAACTGTTGCAACGAAATTTTAGACAGAGTCACAAGTATAGCACGCTGTTAATTGTTTAGCACTATCCCGTAGTCGATTACCGAGTGCGAGTGAGAATGACGCTACTGAGTGATTATATTCCAGTGGGTATAAACCAATGAACTAGTTCATTCACGAGCATGAAACGCCTGGAAGTCTGAGTGTTTATTGTGTTTCATAGGTTCGGTTTTAGCATTAACGATACGGTCGGTGGTGGCCAAGTGGTTAGGTCACCAACTAGCGGCCTGGGTGTCCCGGGTTCAAATCGCTCCATCGCCGCCCGTCTTCCCTATATCTATATTTTCCCCAGATGGCCTTTGTATGACCGCAGCCCCCTTCCTGAGAGTTGACTGTAAATTTGTATATTCAATAAATAGAAAAAGGAAATAAAAAGACATCGTTTTTGTTTTTTAGATAGGATTTAGGAACATGACTGTTGACAGTTATGACATGGAAAATAATCGTAGTTTTCTCCCAAAATGGGAAATGTGCACGACCAACAAGGGAGCATCTTGGGCATGGAAATCACATTCTTGTGCAAACATCAAAGATGTACAGAGGAACCGTGTGCGAAGAAATCGTTCAGTAAGAACCGAGGGGAGGATTGTTTAGACACGGAGAAAACTAGTAGTAGTAGCTAGCAGGTGACAGAACAAATCCACGGCACAAGATCTTTCGACAGGATTCGCTGGAGAACTGTAACTAACTCAACTCTTAATCTTTACATTCCAATGGGATCTCACGCAGCCGCAATGAAATTACAAGCTACAGATTACTTTCTCTATCACTTCAGTGCAGTATTTCACTTGCTTTGACCACGAGTCATCATAAAAAGCCATAGTGAACCTCTAAGCATCACTTGTGGTTGTGTAAGCATTGGGGACACCTGAAAATCCGACTGTTCATTCTTCATCGATGAGTTAATGCTGACTGTTGTTTGGTTTGTTATTTTTGCAGCAGAACAATCGCTGAAACCAATTGACCGTATCGTCCGTACCAAAGTTACTGTCGTGGGTAAGGAATCTGTGTAAAAGGCGTTGATCTGTGATGGCGACTGAGTGAATAAACAACTCTCAAGGGCATAGGCAGTACAGAGAGAGTGACAGGTATTGGGTGCGATATTCTAAGCTCCAAAGACAGTTTAGCGCGAATCATGAACACACGTGTGAGAAGAATACGATGGGGTGTGCATGATACTGCTAGTGGTTTATAATAATAACAATAATAGTAATAATCTGTTAGGGTTATCATAAACTCACTTGATATCCCCGGGTTTTCAGCAGATCGAGTACCAGATCTGGTTCCAAACGGTAGAACCAATGTTCGTTGAAAACATATGGGGCGCCAACATCCATTTCTTCGAGCAGCGCACGGCGTTCCATAGAAAACCGATTTGCTGACTGACGAGCAGTCAAGTTGTTCGACGCGAACGATAACGCCTGATTGTATAATAACGAGCCATTTGACTGAATGTCATCTTCACGCGTGTCTAACACATCGGATAATTCCTATCATGACGAAAATACATAGATTATATAATATGAACAAGGAAACGAAAAATGTCAAATAGTAAATGGAATATCAGAGATACCAATCTGTTCATACACATACACAAACACACGTTGGTGATCGAAATCGATTGAAAACTGCCATCCAAGATTTCATTGGTGGTGACGTTTATATATATCGTTGGAAACTCTCTGAGCACGACTCACTAATCAGATAGGAGTATTGCTCAAACCATTTTCTGTTCCANGTTCCATTCGGAAGAAAAAATTGGTTATACTACTGAAAGTTAGGCATAAAGACTACCTGCATGACTGGAAAACAAACCAAACAGGAAATGCAAACAGAAAAATATGGCTGGTAAGATAGTCAACATAGCACTCGGGAGTACAGTGAAGTGAATTGTCAAATTCACAATGTACACAGAGTGAGTGAGAATGTGTAAGCTGTACAGGGGCTTGGTCAATTTTGGGTGACGAGGTAGTAACCTGAACCTGTATGGGTAACACACGCATTACATACTTAAATTAGGCATACGTACTTGTTCAAACATTCGGGCCAGAAAGGAAAAGACAAAAAGATCGCCACTGCCACGTTTTCGGTTATTATATTATATTTCAAACTTTTCTGAGGACAGACTGTGTGCCAAACAAACCATGGTACAATAATCTTTATGAAAAAAAAGTTACATGATTTGCACGTGGCTGGAACACTGCCAGGTTGTCCAGGCCAAGGCAGGTGAATTTTCTTGAGGAATCCACAACCGAAGCCTTTGGCTAGCCAAAGCCTGACCCGCAAGGCAGCGGGGCGGTGTGTCAAAACTGTAATCCATTGGGGGCCAGTGTCCAGTTCATTGGATCATACGCCCTTCGAACAGGGTCAGACGTCCAAGGTGCCCAATACATCTCGCAGCCCAATCGAGCCGGTGACCACTGCCACAACCAGGAAGTTGTGTGTGTGTGGTTCGTGATTGGCTTGGAACCAGGGTTTTTGGCCAACTCCCCTAGATGAACTGCGGGTGGTCCACCAACCCGGTTATAGTTCCGGATGTCGGCTGTTCGTCCTCTCACTTTGGTGGGAAACACCTATGTCACGAGAACGCAGTGAGTAGGGCTTCCTTAGCAAAGGCTATTCGAGACGCTTGGTCGTATGGGAGCATTTCGCGAGGTGCAAGGGAAGGATGCCCAGCCACAACTCTAGATACCCACCCCCGACCATATCGAGGCTTTCGGTTTCCAATTAACTAGTGAGAAATTCCTTTGGACCTCGAACTGGAAGACGGGAGACACGTACTCTACCTAGTGGCCTGATACATTTTTTCTTATGGCGTTGCCATCACGTAATTTCCTCCAGCGTGGAGTACCCCTGAAGAACAAGGCGCGCCGCAAATGTCGACTATCAGGAATGCGCAAAATAGTGCTCTACCAGCGAAACCCATAAATTTCAATTTAGTGTGATAGAAGATTATCTTCCCCGAGTATTCCCAAACACATCATGACTTAAGACTAGGTTACTAACCAGCTCATCCATTCTTCGTCGTAGGGTGGTGGTGGTGCAGTGGTTTGGTCGCTGCCACTCTTTGGTCCAATGTGCGAGCCCGGCCATCCAACTTTATCGATAGGTAGCTTTGCTGTTGTCTGGTTCGATCCCACACCTAACCTATGTGATTCACCACTCCAAGTCCCGGGGCTTAGGTTACCGGTTTCCATCACTGAAGAACAGGTCTTCGTAATTATGGAGTTCACCGCGTCTGCTGTTCATCACACTTGTGTGTGCGCAATAAAAAAGATTGTTCCACTAAACGGATCGTCGAACTCTAATATCGCGTCAATCGAGGGTTTTGGTGAGCTGAAGTTGCAGATTCTACCTGTCCCTATTTTGAACCTGGCCGGTCGACAGTTGTTGTGGGAATGAGGGAATTATGAAAGACAACGGGGCGGTAGGCTGATTAGTTATCATCCACACCACTGGAAATTTGTGTCGGTTGCTACTACCAGCCGCCGTTTTCTCTAGGTCATAACAGGCCCAGGTGGATCACGATTTTTATCCTCCCAACCTCAAACATAACAGAAATACAAGAAAATAGGAACGACACAAAGTCACTGAACCTCGTGGTCTAAAAGATGATTAAAATATCTGCTAACTCTTATGGGGAAAGACAACAGGTTCGAATTATTGGACACTTTGGTGAAGAAACAATTATCTTTTTCTGACTGTTGATTAAGGAGCTGAGAACTGACGAACTGCGATGGATACAAACTGTAAAGAATATGGCCCAGGACCGAAACCAGTGGTTTAATCTGTCGTGAATCCTGATGCCCATTCACAGCCCGTACAATTACCAAACGAAAATAGACAGAAGAACCGACAAAACACGAAGAGTGTGTAGGGTACAAAAAATATCGGAAACAAAAGAAATATGAATTTCCTATCGAACACTTATACCAACTCATATTCTTGTAAGTAAGTATAGTTTCTCGAACAGTAGTCTTGCTTACCGAGAGAAATCGCATTGTTTTTATGGCGGGCCAAAATAATGGATAGTACGTCACCTCTTCCGCAGTTGGACGATCTTTCGGATTATGGGCTAGCATGCTTTGAATCAGTTCTCGCCCGAGAAAGGCTGTACCAAGAAAAGGCAATAATCAGGATTATTTCTGATAATTAAAGTAAATAAGTAAACTTTGATATGATAAGTTAACGTAGGTGAAGAGTACGATTTTTGTCAAAGAGACTACCATGAATATGTGGAACAGTAATGGAATGAAAGACGCCAAATCATACAAAGGAGGCCCGTTGAAAAGTCTGTTCAATCTGCCCAGGAACGATGCTGTAAACCCAGGAGATTCATCTGGACACTCGAAAACAGAGCCAGCCACCCAGTCCTGAATCACAGGTCATTAGGCTGCAGTTGCTTTGACATCGGCAGGAAGAATCAGCCCCTTTCACAACGGATATCCGTATACATTCACAACTGGTTATTACAACCAATGATGCAGTACAACTTCACAGGTCGATCTGATCAGAAAAAACTCGGGGTCATCAATTGCAAAACATCTCATAACTGGACACACGGTTGACCCACTTTTATTGTTCAAGCCGTCGTTACGTAATTTGCATTCTAGGTTCTTAGCTTTCGGCGAATCGATGCGAGTAAAGTTACCTAATCCAATTTTGTGTGCACAAAAGTATCTTAAGCAATTTACAGTATCAAGCTTGGATTATCTTAAGCAATCAGTCAAATTATCGTGGGACTGATTCTGGAACTGATTTCCACCTTCCCTGGACTGTTGTCCACTAAAACTGTAGTTATCAAAATTTTCTCTTATAACTACCAGATAATTTTACTTTGTAAAGGCTGAGATTAGAAAAAATGTGGACATCTTGTAGGATTGGTCTTCTTCTGAGAACCAGCAGACAAACAGTTGATCGAAGGGGACTCGAATCCGTGCATCGGGACTTTGTAGTTAGACTCTCTAACTGCTAGTTGAACTGGTCTTAGTAGCTTACTACACAATAGTACTGCCCAAATTGTCTACAGGACCTCACTGAGGTTAGACCGAAAATCTACCTTCGCCTGGGTAGCCAGAATCGATAAACGGTAAACGGTTGGAGAAGTGAGAATATTTTCTAAAAGGTGGTGGCTCTGTCAATGTGCCTCTCATCAGTAAGAAGCTTTCGATATGAGAAACGGCGCTACAACAGCGTGGACATTCCACACTGAAAGCATGCAAGCTGATCATGAAACGAATGAGCGGGAAAAACAAACAAGAGCATGTGGGTAGGCGCACCTTTTGACGGATCAACCAAACAGTCGGATTCGGTGAGACGACTCAAATTCGGTACGCGGTTCTCCGCAATCGCCAACTGCCGCGCATGATGCCGATTTAAACGCGTGGCGGTCGAGTAGCAAAAAGGTGCCTGATTGTTATTGTTTTCGGCTGACCCAGGGCCCGGATGATTGATTCCACTATTCCCGGAACCTGGAGTACGGTTATGTCGAGCGGATTCCGACGAACCACTTTCAGGAACCTTCAGGCTCGTCTGTTCTGAGTCGGACAGCTCTGACTGGTCGTATGGGTGACCACCACCGGTTAGAACGTGGTAGGCAAGCAGACCACATGCAAAAATATCGATGGCATAGGTCTGTGATCGATAAAGAAAGAAAATAGGAATCAGTATTTCAAGCCAAAGGTAACGAGTAGATAGTTCGCTGTCAGGCTGTGTACCACGAATAACATCCAGCATTACAATCAATACTTACAAATTAATGGACCAATGAAGATATTCATAGAGAAGCTAAACTAGACCTTGATTTCAGCGTACTAACTGAAGAAATGCGAAATTAAAAAATAACACTAACAAAAAACCAACCAGTTGAGTATACCTAACGCCCAATATTCATGTTTCAATCAATTTTTTGAAGTTGCAAGGTCTAATAGCATCACACAGCTTCACTTTTCGAAATCTTACTATTTATTAGTGTGATCGCTAATATCTGACTTTTGTCTATTCCGTGTGCAAGTGCTACAATCGATCGAGGAATAATATCCAAGGTCAACAAAGTAAATATTGTGCTGGCTGGTGTGTCGTCCTCAGGTAGCGTCGGGTTGATAAGATAACCGTTGCATCCGTTATTTCAGGTAGCACTCTCCCTCAACATCCCCAACTCCGACAATGAATGTGACATCCTTCAACTTGAGGGGTTTGAAATTTTTCGAGACGATCGCAAAGTCAGCGCAATAAACAGAGGTGATGAAGTGGTTAGCTTCATCATCTGAGATGAGCAGTATTTTCGGTTATTATAAGCCTCGCATCTTCAGTTGACTTCATTGAATCATACCGCCTGATATTAAGATTACCGATAACAAACCTGGTTCCATTTGCTTGTTGATTCTTAGGATAAGTTTAGACCAGTCTCTGTGCATCATTGTCGGCGAGTTTATTCGTTCTGACACGTGTTTCTCATACACATTTTGCAAGTTTCCTCATTCGACCCGATGTTTAGTTTGATAGCGTCTTGATCAACGGCCCTGAAGTGATTTTTCGTAGAAAAAGAGTCCTAACATCACCACAGACCGCTACACTTATGCCTGAAAATTTATTGTGAATGTCTACCATCACCATTTTTATTCCATTTTGTCGTAGAAGAAATACTAAAGAACGCACCACGCGGTCTCCATAATGTTGGTATTGAATGGGCAGCTGGAGAAAAGCTGTGCGATTTAGAGTATGCTGACGAAATCGGTTGCCTGTTCGAATGTAAGAATGCGCAAAGCGCTCTAGACAGGATTCCAAGTTCTGAAACATAATTCGGTATGTACTTTGCACCTTCCACGTGCATAGTGATGCCAAATGAGTGGATGTCGTTTATCCCGGTTCTTAAGCCTGATGGTCAAGAAATAGGTAGGGTGGATTGTCTCCCTTACTTAGGTAGTTCCGTGGAATATATTCATCGACTCAATGTTTACGTAGTCTGGCGCGGGTAAGATGGAGCGAGCGTGTAAGCAACTCTGAGGTAAGGCGTCGTGTATTTGGTAACCATTACGTAGAGAATTCGTTATCACATCGAATTCAGGCTAGTAGGCTTCGCTGGTTTGAACACGTATTGCCGCACCCCACTTTATTCACAGCTGGGGTTCCAAAATGTAACGAAAAGCATTACCAAAGTTTAGCCAATGTACTGTAGATGATGCAGTTGAACTTTATCCAATAAGAAACAGTGTTTTATAAAGACCACATCCACTCATAGACAAGATGAACATTTACCAACAATCGCCATTCTAATGGAACACTGCCAGAAACTCACCAGATGCCCGGACTGCGGATCGCATAATTCCGGAGCCATCCATCCCAGGGTGCCGAATGTGACTCCTACACTGGTCAAATCAGAACCCGGGTCCAGTGGAGTAACTGTTTTTAAAGTCATATCGGTCACATAGGCCACACTACTCCCGGGTGCACATATCTGACGGTTTGCCGTATCAATCACATGCGNGCGGCCCGAACGAGTTGGTCCAATCGGTTCGACCGGCAGGCATTGGACGGGATAGACCAAAGTCGCCAACGACCACACGAGCCTGACCGTCAGCATCGTTTGTGGCAATCAGAACATTGCTCGGCTTCAAGTCCCGGTGCACTGCGACAGCGAGTAGTGAACAACAACCGGTGGAGAGAGGTAGCGAAAAGGATGAAGGGTCAAATGAGAACAGCAAGAACAGTACGGCTATATGTCGTAGACAGTAAACATGGGCACAAGCCTAAGAATCCCGAAAACAAAACAAACCAAGGAGTGAAGAAGAGTTCTTAGACAACGAACAGTTGTAAAGTGTTCAGTTCCAATCAGCCTTGAAGCTTATCTACGATGTGTTGAATTTTGTGAAATCCCCTCCAACATGGAACGGTTGTGTCAGCATCAAAGCCCGAGGGTGATTAGACCACGTCTTGTAAATTAAGGAAAAAACACTACAATTTAACATATTCGGCAGATAAATACAAACTGATAGAGAGAGGGAAACATGATTGGTGATGTTTCCATCTTCTAATCTCGTGATTTCATTTTGAAAGCTTGCTTTGAAAGAATCTGAGCTCAGGAATGGAGGTTTTGTGGCGTTCGAAGCGTTCCATAAGATGTGTTTCAAGGAAAGAACAATTAAGATTGATGATTTGGACCGGTGAATGCGCATCTTTGTTATAGAAACATGATTGTCGAAGGAAAGTATGGAAAATATCTCCGAAACTAATAGAGTTGATTCGATGATAACAACAATGAATGGAAGTTCAGTGCACCTCTGCGAAACCCTCTGTTAGAAAGGGAGATAACTGGTATTTCTAGACGGCATCACCCGTGGTCAAGATCACCTGGAAATCCTGGTCTGGTACAATAGTGAGCAAAACAACTACACACCTGTAGATCGTTCCGTGCACGTCACGGCAGAAATATATTCTAGGAGTCACTTCAATCAAAAATCTAAGGCATCAAGTCGAGAAGAAAGTGAATTAGAGGTGGAAACATAAATCTCTGGAGGTGGGGTAGCAGGGCATTGATAACTGTCTTGAGGGACGAATGGAACCATATGCCGCAAGACGGTTGGCAGCGAGCATGAATGAATGGTTAAATGCTGTTGTACCACTAAAGTAAGGGGAAACAGTGATTTTTGACCGGTGAAGCACATTAAACAACCTAGGGCGATTACGAATCACGGCGATTATCACTGAATAGAAAAATGGATTTACTTCCGCCGAATATTGACATGCATGCATTGGTGATTCTTCAACTCCGGGAGTTCTTAAACGGATTTAGTTCGTCGAGCAGGTGGATTCCAGGAAGTCAATAGCCTCAAAGAAGCAACTGATGTTAAGAGTATTTGACGAATACCGGTCGCTAGGATTTTGGAAAGGCAAAAAGGCATTTCTAGCAGAGATCTCA